CATGGTTTGTAGGAGAAAAGCCCTGCAAGTACTTTTTTCCCTGCAATTTGAAAATCCTTATTTTAATTATCTGTGTGCCAAACAAATATATAGATATACATACTCATAGGTAATTGGTTAGCTTAGCATTAAGTCTGGAAACCCCTGGCCTGTTCATACTTCTGCCTGTACCAGCATCTTAAAAACTCCATTGTATCTTTTTTATTTCTTCTGTACGTAAATATAAAAGCTTCTTATTTTTCAGGCAGTTGTAACTATTTCTTGGTGAGCAGTGACTCCTTTGAGTCTTATTGAGGTTGCCGGCAAGAGTTACAACACGTAACTCCCTGTAAAAACACAACTTGTTTTTAAATGTTTGTTCATGCACATATTAAATAAACTAACTATTATTCTCATTTAATACTTGTAAACAAAGTAAATAAGTCTTTCCCAAAATGTCAAATCACGTTTTAGTGCGATTATAAGTACTGATGCTTTCCGGGTACAACATGTTTGTGTTTTTGGATTAATATTACTCAGGTTTGTTGTTCATTGTATAAGTTAGGTCATAGCAGGTCTTAGGTTTTTAAGTTAAGTTTTCTAAATGTTGAATATGTTTTTGGGGGGGAAAATCTCCACAACCTGCATCTGGTTTCTTCTATCAACCAGCTGAACATGTACTAATCAACGCGGTTATATGTTTAGTCCTTTAATAAGGACACTCTCTCTAAAGTTTGCCTTCCATTCTCCTGAATCAGGCAGCGTTGTTTCAGGGAACAAGTAGAGAGGAGAGAGAGAGAGAGTGGACAAGCTTCATGGTCCACGCTTGTTAGCCTGAAATATCCATGCAGCAGCTGCGCCATTTCCGCGGCAACACCTGTCGCCATGGCGCTGAGTTGTCGAAATACCCCTATGTCCGAGTCTGCATGTCTGGGCGCTGCAAATTCATAGCGTGTCCGACCTCTGTGAACCTTTGGACCCCCACACGCTGAGACGAGCACACCCGGAGCACACGCTTACTTACCCAACCATTGCTTAGACGTGTGCAAAATCTCACACTACATAGCACAGCATCTTAATATGCATCGGTGTCAACAGCTACACACACACAGACGCACCCATAACGGTAGTGTGTAAGAAACCGTTGTAACGAAAGGACATTTTAGCTTAGCGGTTTCTTTGTTGCCTTCTTACACGGCTCTCCTTTCTCCCCTGCTCCCTCTTCTTTTTATTCCTAGTCACGCAGATGGGGAATTTTGCGTTTCCATGACAACGACAGCCGTGGAGGAAATGGATTAGATTCTCTGCACTGCTCTGGGGTGTGATGGGGGGTTGCTGTCTGTGTGTACGTGAGTGCTGAATATGGGGGATGGGGTACTTATGGGGTGTATGGCTTGTAGAGAGGGATTGGGGGTATGGTTGAGTGTAGTTTGTGTATATACGCGTGTGTGTGTGTGTGTGTGGCAGCAGGAGATGCCCCCAACCACATTACACCAGATGGAAGCATACGAGCCATTCAAAACACACCCATTGTTCTATCTGCGCGAGGGAATGAAGAACGAATAGAAGTCCATTGGATTTCACTTCATTTAGTTTTTTCTGCCTGTGAGAATATCACATGCTTTATTTAAGACACTGTACCCTTGACTTGTAACCTTTACAAGACACCATGAAAGGATATTTCCAGTGCTCATCTTCTGCCCCCCAAACTGGTTGCAGCCAAATTATACTGAGGCAATTAACCCTGTTTCTTCATCATCCTAATAAATTCAACCCTCAGTACCACTTAATGTGTCCTCTCCTCATTCATTCCTGTCTTCCCTGTCTCCCGGTCTCCCCCCATGTCGGATTTCCATCCTTGCAGCTGGGAAAACAGGGGCGAGAGCTCTTGGCAGCGATGAAGGCAGAAAGGGAGAGAAAAGGAGAGTAGAGAGGGGGCTTTTCAGAAGAAGAGAGAAAAAGGGGTTTCTGCTTTGAAAGGGAGCATTGTCTTCTTCTTCCATTCTAGCTCCATCTCCGTGTTAGTCGAGCCAGCAGTCAGCACATTACTGTGTCTCTTTAGATCAGGGTGCTGTTAGCCTTAGCAACGTTCAGGCTCCAGTGCTCCATTGCTCCTGCATAATGGCCTCCTCCTCTTCTGTCAGCCAAAGACCACCGAACTCCCTGTTAATTCTGCCTCAGAGGCACATTCCAATTGAATGAAAACGGACCTTTTGGAAGTTACATAAGAAATATGTCAACTACAGTGTGCATACAGACGATGATTACAACGGTAAGACAATGCATGTATGACGTGTTTTCAGGAGAGCAGTGGGACAGGCGCTGTATTTATGAAGCGGCCTGCTGTGAGTGTGCCAACCGAGAGAAAGTTCTCATTACTGTACATTTTTTACCAGGGACATCAATCTAGTGTCTTTCTCTGCGCAGCACGAGAATAAATCACATTAATCCACTGCTGTCTGTTTCTGGGTTTCTGAAACTTTCAGCTGTAATCTCCACAAAGTGTGTCATTTGGATTTAGTCCCTGCTTAACTCGACTCTGTGATAAAACCTATATATTTACATTGACAGAGTTTTCCCTTGCAAAGTCCAGATTATTAAGCTCGTCGTCCATGTGTTTGTGCATATCCATAGAGCAGTGCTCTGTCCTTCAACACGTGGCGACCCAACACTGCAGAAACAGCTGCAGGATGGGAGGAAAGAGGGGTGGCGGGCTGGGGAGGAAGTCAGGGGGGGAGGATGACAGAGGTGGTCTCGCTTTTTGCTGCTGAGCTTCCTTTCGCGCCACAAGCAGCTGTGGCGTCACATCCTTTTCTGATTTCTTTCAGATGTGATCCTCCACGTCCTGAATGAGATCCTCCGTCTTCCCCCTGCTCATCCGGCAGCTCACAGGAAGGTGTGAGGGAGGAAATGCAGCCCTGCTCTATTTGCTTGCCCAATAATCCGATGAGAATGCAAAGAAAATATATTTTTTTAGTTAGAGATTTTTCTTTTAAGTGCAGTGTTTAAATATGTGACATTCAGGGTGGGATGTTGCCTCTTCTTCTTACTCATGTCCAGGCTGTCTGACTAATTTTGTTATCACTCACAGACAGTCCATTGTGAAGTTCCAGTCTGCTACTACTTTTTCCATGCGTGTGTGTCACTGTATTGTCCATATCTCTGTGTTTAAGAATGTGCTTGATTAAGCGAGATGGCCGGTGTAAAGGGGGCCATAAAAGAACAATCTTACCATTCTGCTGTGTCTCCCCTCCAGGGGATGGCTGACATATGGGGACAGTGAGGACAGCAGGAGTCTCTGTGAGTCACGGGATGATAAACATCAGCTGACAAAGTAGCTCTCGGGTTATTGTAAAGCCTAATAGTATATATGTAGTGCCCATGTGAACAATTTCCTTGTTTCTTACCATCTCAAATAAAAGCTCACACTGGTCTCCAGTGAATCAAACTAGGACCAACCCACAGTGTGTTATTCCCTCTGACTCATCCACTCTGCGGATCTGTGTGGGATATTTGCATCCTTCCTGCATATGCCTCAGAGCTGCCAGGGTTCGGTAATGACTGGATATGTTTGTCTTCTTGCTGGTCATTCAGCACAGCCAGACCCGAGTGAAGCCAATAATGGCCAATGCATAAAGCTGTGGTGAAGATGTGGAGAACAGAGAAAAGCATGCACCGTCTATGGGGCTGACAGTTGCTGTGGCAACCACATCACAAATAATTCAGAATTATTCAGTCGAGTCGGCCATTTTGGGAATGTGTCTGCAGTGTTTGATGTTGGAATGCTGTCATGTGAACTGGATCGTCATGTTGGAATTTTTTACAGAATTCTCTTTTAGCTCAGGCAGTGAGTTTAATTTGGAGAAAATGCATTAGCTGGACTGAATAGATGCCACGTCTGATTGAAGAACACGTTCATCATCTCCATCCCTCGAGCTCCTCAGTCCCTCCTTCCATCCCCCAACATATGCAGCAGAGCAGTGGAAGCCTGCTCCCTTTGTTTGGCTCAGTGACGTCCCATGGGCTATTTATAGGGACTTTGGTATTGTGTAAGACCTTGTGAAAGGCAAAAAGCAGGCTGCCGTGTTCCCTTTAGTGGCCCCGGGATCTGTGAGAGGAAAGCTAAAGAACATGTAGCTCTTGAATGGTAAGAGGAGGAGGAGACAGTTTAGATGAACCGTATGACATTCTTTTTTATTTGATACCATCAATTTATTCTCAATAAATAGATAATTGCAGACAAGATACAATATATATTGAGGCCATGCTCTTTTACCTTATATCAAATGCATTAATCATGACTATAAAGAGAGCAGTGGGGGAGTATTTTAGGTATTATCTGTACTACAGGTTATTATCCTCAAAATTAAAAATGATTGAAAATATATTACATAGAAATATTTTTTTAAATATGCTAAAGTGTCTTTTTTTTTGCAGCTGTAGTGTCATTGAGTTAATTGTCTTCTTGCAGCAAGTCAAAGAGAATTTCAGTCAATTCAATAACAATGCAATTGCCGTTTGATTTATTGGATATATTTGTGAATCATTTTCAGTAAACAAAGGTAGCATGGTAAGTAAGCGTCCCATTAATAACTCCCATGTATCATATAACAAGGGAACCGTATTAGCCTATGAGCAATGTTACTTTAACTGTAGATAAGTGGCCACATTTGGTCTTTTTCTAGTCCTTTCTATCTGCCACAGTCAAACATGACATTCGGGTTTGCATCAGTGCCAGACTGGATCTCCGGTGTGGGCTTAACCCCTCGACTCCACCACGAAAGGGTGGTCTCAGACTTCTGTTGACTCTTTAGCCCTTTTCGAACTAGAAAGCTTCTGCTTTTCTGTCTTCAGGCCAACTAGTAGCATAATTGTGTCTTTGTTACCACTAAATTTAATGTACATAACACAAATGAAATAAAATAAAAACTACAGCAAACATCCCCAATGCACAAAATGTACTCTCTGTCTGTTTCAGAATGACATACACACACAAGTGTAAAACAAACAAGCCACGCATGTATTTTTAAATGATTTCAGAATCTTTTTATTTGAAATGTCAGTGTTCAAGAGAAAATAAAACAGCAATATAAATATTAGCATCAAAATAAGAGTAACACAGAGGGGAAAGCGTGGGGGGCTAAGCATTTGATAAGAAAGATAATACAGCAGGATAGAGTAGTATTAATTCAGCAGCAGACGGACTTACACATATATAATATTTATAATCATTTGCTCATATGGACAGAAAGAGAATGAGAGGCATTCTTTCACAAATGCACAAGATAAAATCACCGCAAAAGAACATTAAGAGGTTACAGAAGGATAGAAACATTTCCATATTTTTTTTTGTTTTGTTTTGTTTCTTTAAAGGGTGACAAAAGATAGTAGAGAGAAACTGAACACAAAAATATGCGCAACACATATCACAAGTTAACTAGTCTACGTGTGTCACTTTGTTTACTTATCTAAAGTTGTCTTTAAGTCATTTATTTACACGGGAGAGTTAGTTGGCTTCCATGGTGCTTAGTTACTACATTGCAACACAAACTGTTGAAGAACATCTCAGATTTTTATTCATTATTGATTCTTTTTTTTTTTTTTTTTTAACTGTGGTTTTCTTATTTTTCTTGAAAAACAAAATGCAACACATTCCAGTAGTAAGCCACGCCTGTGGGAGGGAGTTGTATTTTTAAACCGTTGGACGTGGTCCCTACTATACAAACAACTGGCTCATACGACAGGAGTTGTGTTTTATTTACAGTGAGGAAGAGCCTCTAAAGGCCAGGGAGCGGAGCAGAGAGGCGAGTGGCAGAGAAGCTAAGGTTTTTTTATCATGTCAATAGGGGAGGGGAAATTTCAAAGAGCTCTCGAGTGGTATCGCCTTCCCGACAGGGACAGCTTTGCTCGGCTCTGTTGACCTCTACCTGGGTCAGTGCATTGGAGAAGGTTTAAGGGGTGGGCAGATCAACAGTGGTTCCCCTGTACATTCAGTGGGTAGAGCTAACGTTGTTCATCACCCTTCTGTTTGATGTTATGGTGCCACCTCAGTCTGTGAACCCCTCACCGCACCCCATCCAGTCCCCCCTGACCCAGCCTGCGAGACGCTTCTTCTCATGCAATAGTATCTGGACAGAGTCCTCAGACAGATGGACGGCAAAGTAAAGACTTCATGTCTTGTACAAACACTTCTTCTATGCCATTGAATCATTATCTCCCAAAGAAAAAAAAAACATGTTACTGTGTCACATCGAGAAGTTCTTCCACCCTTCAGGATAGTGAGGGGTAATACTCAGTCAAAGCCCTCAAATTTACCACCCCTATATGCATTTCCCTAAAAGACCGAAGTGATTATTACCCCTTCGTCGTGTGATCTTCAAAATACAAACAGTGCATTTTTCTCTGTTTGGCCCTCGACGTGGGGCGGTGAGAGAGGGGAGAACACAGGCTGGGTGTGAGGAGGGGAGGGTAGAAGGTGCAGGGGAGCAGGACATGTTTGTGCCCATCTGGAGTCTCTGCTGCTACACCACCTTTATGGACAGCATGTACAGTGAGTTGATGACACAATACCGTGCCCCACGCCACCCCACCCTCTGCCAGCCCCTTTCCTCTGGATGCATGCTCAGGTCATACAAATATCAGGAGATTAGGATTATTTTTTTTTTAACTATGCTTACAAAAGTTATTTTTATTCTGTGTCAAGTAAATGCTACATGTGCATCACACTGACCTGCGATTGGAGGGGAGATAATGGATTCAGGATGTCCTCCTCTTTGCTTTTGCAATGCATGGTTTGCAACTATAAACTAGAACATGTGGTTTGAACCTTTAAGAGCATGCAGAAGAGTTTGTAATACCTGTCAAACAACAGCCTTATATCCGCAGGACTCATGGTTTAAGACCCTGCAAGGCCGACCTTATATAGTAATCTAATTGATGGCAAATAGCGTACTTTACAATAGCTGACGTTCCATGTCAGGGAAAGAGCACAATAAATCCAACGTGAAAGACGTTAACATTTCATCTCTGAATACATCACTGAGTACAGCCGTGTCATCCCAGCAAGGTTCCTTACAATGAATCTCTTTATCCAAGTTCATCTGATTTTACGAAAAGAAAAAAAGAAAATCACAATAACCCCCCCATACCCCGCCGAAATGATCTACCAAGAGAGAGTATGTGAGCAATACTTAAACCTTTAGCACAGCACATGTTATCAACACCAACAAAAAGCCTTCAGAACATTCAAGACACTTTCAAAGAACCATCGACATCTATCCAACGTCCATGTGGTCAAAAGCAATCACTATTTAGACCGTGGCTAATGAGTGACAGCAGAGCGGCAAGATACCTTATGGGGGCGGGGAGTATGAGGGGGTTAGATTTATCATCAGATCAAGCCAGGTTCAAAATTCCTCCACCTCTCTCCGTCCAACTCTACTTCTTCTCTTTCTTGGTGGACTTCTTCTTGGAGGCAGGGGTCTGGGCGGCCTTGGGCGGCTCGGACTGAACCTGCTGCTGCTGCTGGGGCGGGGGCAGCGCCTGCTGGGCCGCCTGCTGGGCCGTCGCCTGCTGCTGTTGGGGGTTGGAGGTCAGGGTGGCCGTGCTACCGGGGATGTAGACGTTCTGGCGATAGTCGGGCACGTGCTGCAGGGTGAACTGGGGGCTGTAGCGGGTGCTAAGGCCCATGGTGCCGGGCCCCAGTGTGGCCGTAGCCTCACCAACTGCTGGGGGGGAGAGAGAGACAGAGTGGGGAACGGACAGGGGGAGGAAATTTGTTAAAAAACAATATTTCTGTGTTATATTAAAGGAGGAAAAGCAAAATGGGTAATAAAAGGAGTTTCGAACATGAGATAAAGTACTTAATTGAAGGGAGATGCTGTCTGAATATTACATTTGATATAAACAAATCCCACTGCTCAGGCAAACCATGAGGTTGCAGTGAACTATTGAGTGGCATGAGCAGAAAAGCATGAACAAATGAAGGGCAAAAGATGTGCTCCACAGCTGATTGGGCACAGATGCATTTTTTCTCTTAACATAGATGATGATACTGTCGCTTCAACATACTCCTCATCCTCATTCCCTGAGTGTGTGTGTGTGCGTGCGTGACGTAGCTGCTCAGCTCATAATTCTCCCACAGCCCCTGCATTGCAGAACCAAAGACACAAGTGCTCCCTCCCCCACCGCCTCTCAGCCTGCACATATGCTCACGAAAACTGTACTGCTGCTCACTGGCTTCCAAAATGTCAAAGCAGTATGTGGAAACATATTTTATGATAAATCTCTCTGCCCTCACGCAGTTTTTTGTTACGGGTTGCAGGATTACTCCCATGTTGTGCTTAATAATTACAGACCGGAGCTGTTCCATGTTTAACACAGGCACTATTTCTTCGTTCCTTCCGGATGCCACTAACATGTGCATTCTGTTCTAACTTTGCTCTGACATGCCGGTTACCACAATGCCCAATGCAGAGTCTTTTCTCTCTCTGTTCACTGCAATGGAAAAATTCCCCGGAACGTCCAATGCAGTGTGAAAGAGGGGCGAGGGCGGAGGGGGGAGGGGAGGATTGTGTGTCTTGGGGGAGAGAGATGTGATTTGTAAATGTTGTTTTTTTTAATCCATCTTTTCTTCATATTTCTTTTGTTCTCAAGGCCAATGTTACGTGTAGTTTTCCCCCGTCGTTATAAGGCTTCGACGTTGAAAGCTCCGTGACGAATAACTGTGTGTGCCTCTGCAGTGCCTGGTTAGGCATGCACTGCAGGAAAAGAGAAATGGGGCAGTCACATTGTGCAATATGGGAATCTTTCGTTATGTATGCCCCTAAAGGTTGTGTGTTACATAACTGTCCATATAGGTCTATAGCTTATGCGTATAGTAAAACACAAATCAACTATCCCAACATTAATGTGGATGGAGAGAGCTTTATTAATGAGCGAGTCTTGCTAGTTGTCCTCCTACCAAACAGGAACATAAATAAACAACCTCTGCCCAAGCACCCTCACTAAGGTTATGAAGAGATCGATGAATCGATAGAAGGGAGGGAAATGACAACAAAGTGTAGGACTCACCGTTAGCTGCAGCCATCAGGGCCTGAAGCTGCTCAGCCTCAGTTGGGGGCTGGGGCCAGGGACCAGTTCCCATGGCAACCTCAGGTCCTCCAGTGGCCCTATGGTGAAGACAAGGAAGGACCGACTGTAAATAACTGGTTGTTCATCCTCTCCAGTGCGTGTTTGTTTAGCTCACTGGTTTGACAGTCGGTGGTTTATTACGGCAAAGCAGCTGATGGCCAAACGTACAGCCTGACAGGAACTCGGCAAAGGAAAACAAGGATGTATAGTTTACAAAACAGGGTGTGTCCCAAACAAATACGCACTCTTAAACACACTCTTGTCTTTCTGCACAATTACACACAGAAGCAAGCGTGTTCGCGCAGTCACACAGTCAACATTGTACGACGTTCACACTGTCTCTACTATGACCATGAGCACTGCGCCGTCTAGCAAATCTTAATAAATATTTAATGATCCCACTTTTAAAGGAAGTTGCTGTCTGCCTAGTTACACATGCAGCGCTCAGCAGGAACTGAGCATTTCCATCTGGGCAAACAGGACCTTCAAGAGGCCTGTTTATTTTAAGTCTGCAATTTGCCCGTGCAAAGAACAAAGGAGACTGCGATCTATTATGCTCAACTTATTTACACCTGTGACACACCAGCAAAAACCGTACAACTAGATGTAATTTGCAGCGCTTTAATACTGACTCTGCTCCTTCTCCAAATGTGACAATAAACCTCCATAATGTTATATTGTACTGTATTATTTCTATAAAATAAAATTTCTCTGGTACACTGTCAGAAAATAAGAACAGATACATTTCTCTTCACTTTAATATAATCTCAGCAGAGTCACAACAAATTGTATAAAACCTTAATGGATTCTGCTTCTAAAGACGTGTGAGTGTTTTTTACGAATCTCTCAAGCTGATGAATTGTGTGTCTGTGTGTTAAATACATTAGTTGTTTGACCCAAGGACATTTAGTGGATGATCATTAACCCACAGGGACATGGGTAAAATGTTCTGGTGGAGTTGAAAGGTCCAAAGAGGACAGTACATTACAAATGTTTAGTAACCGATGAGGAAAACTGGACTGTATAACTAAAGATAGCTTGTTGAAGAGATGGGAGATAAAGAGGGACCTTTTCTTATTTCTAATGTAAAACCACCAAAGAAAAATCTACATTAGGGCGTAAAGGGCAAGTAAACAACAAGAAAGGAATTTAACATAAAAAGAGGCATTTGCTCAAGAGCAGGTTGCCAGATCTTGCTGCCAAAACTCTGAAGTGGTTCTGAGTTCGGCGCCAGAGACTGACGGAGAGAAACATGTTCGGTCTGCCCCAGACAGCCAATGAGTAACAGGCAGAGTAAATAAACCCAGTGCAGCCATTTTGTGCCTCTTCACATCCTTAGATAAAGGGCATGCTTAATTTGAGCTAAATTAGCATCTTTCTGCTCTGTAATTTCCTATAATTTCCTCTGGTTGTGTTAGGCGCTTCCTGTGTTCGGGATTGTCAACTGTGGTGTTGTCTTTGGTCGGGCAGACAATGATAGTGGTTCCCTCTGCAACGTTACGTGACAAGTTGTTGGCTCTCTTTGGTGTTTTGAAGAGAATCTTCTATGACGGTAACTTCAAAGTTAGTTTAAGCCGTTCAACCAGTCACATGGGGTACATGCTGGAATTTGACCTCAGGAGTTTTACATGAAGTGTTGTTTACAACGTTGTAACGCCTAATGGGTGTTTTAATGAAACCAATCATGAAACAGATGTCTGTATTGCCTCTTTCATTTCGTTGCCACGTTGATAAATCACATGAAAAAGTCACATGTAGTGATGTTGAGCTACAATCATCACAGACACACAGCAAAGTCAACGCAAAGTTTGGTAAGCCAGTCTTCTCAGCTTAAAGGGTACAATGACTATATATTTATATATATGGCACACATAAAAAGGCATAACAAATCTGAAAAAACAATGCACGGGAAGTCATAACTGCCACAATCCTTTCTACACCACAGCAGGCATTGTGGCCTAAGCACATCGATCAACAAACCCCAGCAAACTTTTAGGGAGACTAACAAAAGCTATGGGTTAGCTACATCTACACACAGTACGGCACTCCACTGCAGGACACTATCTAACATATGTTAGACTCTCTGCCCTTATCAGCTGAACAGTGACAAAAGTCACCACTGATCCGCTTCTAAGGACAGAAAGTGAGCATTTGGTTTCTACGTCTAAATTAGTACCTTGTCCCACTCTTCGGCGTCCATCGTATGTGTGTACCGTATGGCATGTGGGGACTAAAAACACAACAAGTTATACAGCCTGCAAGAACCATCGTGTATTTGACTGAAAGCCGGAGTTAGGGTTAGTTTGCTTTTCCCCCCACCACCAACGACGGCGGTATTTGTGTCGGTGCGTGTCTAACATTTTCCTAACTTGGCTCAAAAGAGCATTTTGCCACAGCTGGTGTGTTTCGGGGCGATGTCTTGACTCGTGGAATGTGTGGTGCAATCATTGCTGTGAAAACTGCTACTGCCAAGCACTCCATTTTAGCCGACTAGATATGGGCAAAGTAGACATGATTAAAAACTGTCCTCAGCTCACTAAAACACGCGACTGAAATAGATTATCCCGATTATTACAGACTGAAAAGAGTGCAAGAAGGATAAATACACCGTCCGACCCCCACTATCTTTGGTCACCGCCCCTCATCAGTAGTACTGAGTGATGGCGCACAGGCTGCACGGAGGAGAGGAACAGGAGGCGAGGGGGAGGGGGAGCAGAAGCTGCGGCAGCCATTTTATAAAGCAACCAGGAGCCAGGCAGAGATGCTCATTCAGGAGCGTAATTCTAGAATTGCAATTCATTGAGCAAAATCATGCAATGAAACCATCACCACGATGTGATTTAAAGTCCAATTCAAATGGTATGTATTGTGACTTTAATATGATTCGTTCTTCATAATCAGTACTCTGCAGGCAGCGTGTTCTTATGGCTGCAGCGCGCACTCCCATCCCCCTCGTTTTCACTCCTCATCCTCAGTCACTCCCTCTGTCTCAGAGATAAGCCTGACTCGTGCAGCACAACATTACCGGGCATTTAATCATTGTGTGTATGTATTTGTCTCAGTTTACTCACCCACTGGGTCCAGGTCTCGGTCCTTGGGTGAAGCGCCAGTCATTGTTGGGGGGCTTTTGCTACAAAGAGAACAGAATTTGCAACATGAATTGATTGTGTCATTGCAACACCAGCAAAGCGTTTTTGGAAATTCCACCTTTGGTTCAAAAGATGCTTTGTGACCGACACATCTGTGTGATGGTGTATATCTGTCTTTTAAGAAAAACTGTTCGTTTTTTTTCAATGCGTCTAAACAAAGGGTAGCAGATGGGAAAAAATGGACAAAGGTTGGGACAGGATGCCAAAAGCTGTGGAGCAGTAAATGCTGCAAAGGAACTCGCGCACAAACACGAACGAAAAACAAACAAAACAAAGACCCAAACTGGGGCCCCACACATAAAACGACACTCGCATCAAAAATTAAAAGCAGGTAATATCAAAAGGAGAGTTACAGGGCCGCGTGACCCAAAAATCAGTTATAGAAGCCAAAAAACACTGCAAGATCTTTGAGAAAAAAATTCTGAAAGAAATAGAGACAAAATATGACACCAGAACATGACTTTTTGGGGTGACAGCTTGGTGAGCCTTCCTGCCAATTGAGTAGCTACAGAGCTCTCCTAAGAATATGTTCATCAGACGCAGAGGACAGAGAGAGTCCTTGGAAGGTAACACAGTGTTATTTTAATACCAAAACATCATGGCGATAAGGCAACGTTTGTGGCTCACCAGCACTAAAAGCCTCTCTCTCCTTTATATGTCCCTCCTTCTCTCCATTAATGTCTTCAAGCCGCTCTTGTCCATTTCTACCTCGCTGGCCATACCGCCACGTCTTTTCCATCTCTGTAGCTCTTTCCCTCTCTCTCTCTCAGGCTCTCTTGTTGTGCATTGATGCGGTGAATAAACCTCGGCTCGGCTCCAGATTCTGCCGTCTAATCGACACAAGAGCTCGCAGGAGAGACGGGCCAGCAGGATAATGTGCTGCATTATTAAAAGGGATGTTCTACCCAAGGGAATGATGGAAAGAAGCGGGAGAGCAGGAGAGAAAAACGAAAGAGTAAATACCTAGACAAAAGGAGAAGCTGAAACTGGAGCATCTATTATCATACCGGTAAACATGGAACAAATGCACCAGTGAATGGAGACTTATTGAATGCACAGAAAGAACAGACAAGGAACCCACGGGTGGTTAAAACAAGTGGAATCGGGAATAGTGTTTAGTATCCATAACAAGCGACTTCCACGCCACAAAAAGACCTAAATAGGAGGGAAAGAAGCAACTTTTGTATATTGTCTGGTCTACTTTGAAGGACACCACACAAAAGGACACCACAACTAGTGACAGGGAGAGAGAATGATGATGTGACGAGCGAGTTGTACGGCAATTAGTGTTTTTTCAATAATCCACCTATTGACCAACGCTGGGTATGATCCATGAACTTTTGAGGAAAAATTGTTTGTAAAAAAAAATTTGTTAATAATTATTTGATTTCCATTTCTTCTTCAAAAGGGTCCATTTTTACTTTGGTGGCTACTCAACAAATAAGTTAAGTGTTAGACACTCAAGGAAAATGTCTGAGGAAGAAAAGTATACTTAGAATTCACAAGCTGTCACTGGTTCCACAGTAGTAGATGAGGATGAGAAGAGGGGAACGGAATCTGCTCAATGTTTAGAGTTAAAAGTAGACTCAAAGACGTGTCTCTGTGCGTAGGCATGTAAGTCTGCCGGAGCTTTGGTATAGAGAGAAAAAAACATTAGCGCTGAGAGTAGGCAGACATCCGCAAAGAGGCCCAGCATTCCAGCCGTGTGACCTGCTCTGACCACACAAACAAGACACACGCTTGTTATTTCCAAGGTCTAATCGCATACAAACATGAATAATAAAGGTTAACAGACTTATCTGGCCCCACTGCTAACTAAAGGTAAACAGTACCGTATCCTGCATGCCGAAAACTACACACCAGAGGAAGACTGGTAATATCCATAATAATGAGTCACTTGCCAGAGAAAACAAATTTCATGCCAGGTCTCATGACGTGGGATTCAAAATGTAATTGATTTCAGTTCCACTTATCAGATAATCTTCAGATGTGCTTGTTATTGTTTTTTCATAGTCTCTGAAGTGAGTTGGTTACTTAAATGCACAAGTTCAATTTAAAAGGCAGGGAATAGAGAGAGGATGTCAACTACCAGTAAGGCAGACTAGGTCAGTGGATGAAGGGATTACAGCCTTGTGGGCCCTGATTCTCATCCATTGGAAACACTTTCATACCACTCATAACCTCACATCTTTAGAATGAACGAAAGAGCTTTGAGGACATTCCAAACTGACCCGGTTCCTTAATACAATATACTATAACCAATATATAAAGTGATAAGATGAATGCTCAATATGCGTGTGATTATGTGAACACAGGATTCCAAATGAGATATTAACTGGATTGCTTAGCTCTGCAATCTGGACTGAATCAAGCATGTTTGAACAAATTTGAGCTAAAACATCAGGTTCTCTGCCTAAATACTTCTCCAACAGGTTTATCGGGTGAGAAAAAACAAATGAATTTTCCCTTTCTCTCCCTCTGACAGGGCTGAAGAAATGCAGTATGTGCAGAAACTCCCTTCAAACATACACGTCCATCTGGTACTGTTCATGGAAAATTTAGTTTCCTATCACATGCACATATCATCATTGCTAATTCTTTAAAAGGAAAAGACGACAACATGTGACAAGAGACAAGTCCAATGTGTGCTTTTTGATTTAAACACGCCTCTGCCTTAAACAAACATATTGTCTCAACTCACAAAACCCTTAACGACAGTTATTTCTGAGCAGCGTGAGCCAGTTTGTTGCATGTTCAGCTTCGTCATCCATATAAAAGTGTATTTACAAAACACTCGGCCTAAGTCAGTGCCCGTGCCCACTCCTGTAAACTCTCACAGCCTCAGACTGAACAAACAGATGGTAATGCAACTATTCAGATCCTGCATTAAGTCTATGAATTTTCTCCAAATTGCCCCCTAAATTGTCTGTGTAAAAAAAATAAAACAGCACACGGCTGCTGAATAGAGCAGACAGATAAAGGTGAGGAAGTTACTAATAAATGGGCACTATGGCCTCACGGTCCTGCTAAAATTACACACTACTGGAGGCTTCTTGAGCCTGACGTTTTCTACACACAATCTTGCATGCAAACATATGGACATCCAAAGAGATGGCTGCCGCTGTAAAGCCATTACAGGCTGTTGCCATGGCACGCATGAATAAAGAAAGACCCATCCGTCCTCTCTCTCTCTCTCTCTCTCTCTCTCTGCCTCTGTTGTCCACATAGACACGTGTCACTAGAGCAATGAAACAGATGGTATCCTGCTGACCTCAGGAACAACCCAATTCAGCAACGAGAGAGGGTCTGTGTAATAAAGACTCATGACTCATGTGTCTTTAATAAAGATATCAAAATACTAAATAGGTTGTCTCTGTCTTGTGTATGGGATTATTATCGGTTTAGCTTTGCTTAACACAGGGAGAAGGGTAGATGCTAATCAAGAATGTAAGAAAAGTAAAAATGTCCTGTGCAAAACTTACACAGTGAATACATCCTCACTCATGTGATGCGGGGTCCTGGAACCAATCAACAAACATTCAGAGGACAACAGGAAGTCAGGGTTCAAGCCACTGACCCCATGAATTCCTGTTTTCCAGCTTCTGCTTTATTCTTTGGCTCCCCCACCCAACCCCTCGTAGCCTGTTCTTTCCTTCGCCCTTTTCCTCTCCTTCCCCCCATCTCTCCCCCTGTCATCCTGTTCCACTCTGTCTCCCAGACAACACTGAGCCAACACTGCAGGATATTTTCATCTGTCTGTCTACACCTCCTCCTCCTCCTCCTCCTCCTCCTCTTCATCTGTTAGGAGCACTATGTTTCCACCTCCTTTGACATTCCCTCTCCCAGCGTTGACTTCCAGCATGGAATTGACTTGTAACTTTCTATCCATAGGGAACAGGTCCTATCTGCTGTTTAGTTACTGAACGGAGATGGTAACCACATTTTCTAGCCTCTGGTCAGATTAAATATTAAAATGTTCTTCACAGAGAGAGAGAGAGAAAAAGAGAAAGAGAGAGCGAGAGATGGGGAGAGAGAGAAAGATTCTCCAGAAAAAACAAGCAACGTCTAAGTGACATGTGGAATCTAGGTTAGGACTCTACTTCCAAGAGCTAATGCAACATCACATGAGTTTTTTTTTTTACACATGCTTGTACAAACACAGCAAAGCAATATCAAAACTGCATGTGAACAACATTATTATTGGTATTTCTTAAATCAACCTATAGATACTGAAACCCTTGTATTGGTCTCAAACCACGATGGCATATCCCACCAAATGCCATGCTTGCTCTAATCCCTCACCTCACTGGCTGAGTTCATAAGGTGCTTCCTGCTGAGTGTCATGTTCAGCGTGTTGTTTTGACTCAGCATGGGGGTCTTCATAAATACAAAGTCACTTCGGCTGGATAGGGTGGAGTAACAGGGTCTGTATGTCCGTGTGTGCGGGTCCTGGGAGCCACCCACAACCTCCATGTACCGTATGGGTCCATCAGTATTGAGCTGCAGGTGCAGGTCCTTGCTTGGCCTCTGATGGTAGCGGCTGGTCCTGTGACGACCGTAGCAGCAGCAATCCGAATCTCCGAGGACTGGGTCACGGTGCCTTAGGCAACGTACCATGAGGATAACAAAAGTGATAAAGCACACCGCTGATACGCAGGCTATAGAGATGATGAGGTACAAAGTGATGTCCGCCATCCCAGTGCGGTGGTAGAAAGGTGTGTGGCGAGGGCTTACTGCAGCATTGTTGGTTGTTTCTTTCTCATCTACGGTTACTGTAATGTTCACTGAACTGGACTTTGGCGGCTCACCATTGTCCTGAATGATGACCACAATGTCAAAAGTCGAGCCGGTTTCCTCCTCCGCCCACTTGCGGGCTGTGCGGAGCTCACCAGTGTGTGCCCCGATGCGGAACATCCCAGCATTTTGTCCAGGAGCGATGGAGTAGAACAACCATGCATTGTGCCCACTGTCTGCATCCACCCCTACAAGTTTATTTACGAGGTGCCCCGGGCCCACTGATGGGGGCACAGTGAACTGTAATCCTTTGTCTTTGGGGTAGGAGGGATGTACAATCACTGGAGAATTGTCATTCACATCCACCACAAATACATGCACAGTGACGTTGGCTGTCCTTTGGGGAACCCCAGCATCCCGGGCCTGCACCTCAATACGGAAAGCTTTAAGTTGCTCATGATCCAGGGAGCGCATGCTATAGATCTGGCCACTCTCTGGGTTAATGTAGACATACGAAGAGATGGGTGAACCCTGCACCATGCTGGGAAGGACAGAGTAGGAGATGCGGGAATTGTCACCAAGGTCTGGGTCAGTGGCAGAAACAGCAGCAATAGGGGCACTTGGCGCATTGTTCTCTGGGATGTCCACAGAGTACGAATGCTGAGAGAAAGTGGGAGCATTGTCATTTACATCAGAGAGCTTCACCACAAAGGTGGTTTGTGTTGAGAGGGGAGGGGAACCGGCATCAGTGGCCTTGATGACCAATGTGTACTCTGGGACAGTCTCACGGTCCAGGATTCCAGCGGTGGTGAGGCTGTAATGCATCGCAAAAGCTGAATTGAGTTTAAATGGTAAACCTGGTTGGACAGTTAATGTAACCTCTCCATTTAAACCAGAGTCTAGGTCACGTGCACTTATGAGCGCAATCACAGTCTCTGGGGCCGAGTCCTCTCTAATAGGACTGTCCAGTTGTGTCAGTGTCACCTCAGGGGCGTTGTCATTCGCATCGATGATGTCAATTATGACGTTACACGATCCCTCCATGGCGGGAAATCCACCATCTCTGGCCTGCACTGTGATGTGGTATGCGGTGGATTTCTCGTAATCCACGTCACCCTTCACGCGGATCTCCCCGCTTTTAGAATCCACACTGAAAATGTTTACAATGCGTTCCGATGTGTACTTACTGAAAAGGAAAGATATTTCTCCGTTGTTACCCGAATCCGCGTCAGTCGCGTTCAATTTCGTAACTAAAGTGCCCCTTGCAACATTTTCTAAAAGACTAACTTTCTTGACTGGCTCGTCAAAGACGGGCGCATTGTCATTGACATCCAGAATTTTAATGAGCATGAGCGTTGAGCCAGATTTCACCGGCTGACCCCCATCTACAGCAGTGAGCAAAAGGCGAAACGAGGCCTGCGTCTCCCTGTCCAAAGGTTTATCCACCAGCAGCTCTGGAAATTTACTGCCGTCACTTTTAGTTTCCACTTTCAAAATGAAAAAGTCATTTTCCGCCAGGTGGTAAGTGCGTAACGAGTTGGTACCCACGTCTGGATCGTGTGCGCTCTCCAAACGGAACTTTGTGCCCGGAGCGGCCGCCTCTGATATCTCCAGAGAAATGTTGCTGGTTGAAAACTGCGGCGCGTTGTCATTCACATCCAGAATGGTCACCACGACGCGATGAATGTCTAAAGGGTCCTCCAGAAGTATCTGAAAGTGTAGTGAACATGCTGAACTTTGTTCGCACAGTTGCTCCCGGTCAATTTTTTGCTTGATGACCAAATCGCCGGTCGCCTGCTTTACCTCAAAATACTGCGTTGTGGATTCCGACACCATCCGCAATCTCCTCTGAACAATCCCCTGAGATGTAAGACTCAAATCTTTAGCAATGTTCCCAACGACAGAGCCCGGGCTGAGTTCCTCCGATACGGAATAGCTGAGCTGGGCCGAGGCACAAGGGAGGCAAGCTAGATAGAAGCAAAGCCTCCACAGCCTCCCTCCTCCGGAGCGCTTCCGCTGTTTGGAGTCCATTGTGCTGCGCTCCGAGGATCGGAGAGTGGGAAAGTTTTCAACTTATTCTTTCAGCGTAACGTATCCATTTTAAGGTTAAAACGAGGCGGCTAGGCTTGATGATAAACATTTCCTTTTTAGAAATAGAGCGATGGGAAGTTTTGATGTGATCATTTCGACCGTCTTTCAAAAAAAAAAAAAAAGAAACGAGAACGAAAAAAGTATTTTCTGCCTACACTGAAACTCCGTCCTCTGCCTCTGCCTCACTCCACACATGGGCGGGGAGAGGCAACAGAGGCCTCCCCCATCGGAGGGCAGGGCTGGACCAGCTCAGTCCCTCAGCTCACACAAATGGTGAAAACTTTCCAGTGACTCCACGTCCACCGGCAGACAAGGACCAGCTTAATTCTTATTACCTAAGTTTGAGAAGGCAAAACCAACGGGAAAAAACAGAGGAATATGCCAGACATGTGGGAAAAGCAATTGTTCCTCATCCAAGGAGAAACTATGGAAAATATATCCTATCTTATTGTTAGTTATATGGTTTAACAATACAGGGAGAGCTCCCCATTATGAAAACACAGCCGAGCATCAACCAGCTGTTATTTATAACAATGCTATTTGAATCCGCAGGGGGGCGTGATTTCCAAACACGCTTTCCTGACGCAGGTCTACAAATTGGAAGTTAAAAAAGTAACATATAATATAATATGTATATAATAATAATAATATACTGGGGTTTGGGCGGGGGAGAAATATTTGAGTAGTTTTCACTGTTGAAAAAATGAAAATAAAATGTAGTGTATAAAAATGGTAACTTTAAAAAAAAGAATGAAATATACAGACATTGTTTTCGGATGAGGCAACGGCAATGCTTGAAATCTTTTAGGTATGTAATTGTTCTTTGAAATAAAAGATTCAAATTATCTTGCTAAAACGTGTTTTTTCTATGGAAGTTATTACTCTTTCTAAGCCTGTAATACACACACGCCATATTATATAACGTAGACTTAATTTATGATTTTCTTTTCCCAAGGTGATACAATATTATAGTATATACAAAATTGCTCTGTGAAAAGAATTGAAACCCTGGAGCTGACCAAAAACTATAGCCATGAATATGAGCTATAACCCTACAACTTCACACCAAAATTGAGTGATTTGGTTTTCTGGAGAAACACATAACACATGTTTAGAAGAAGAAGGAACAATCAACATATTTGTTGACAACTTGACTACGACACAATGACTTATGGTTTTCTGCTCACCTGCTGGCTCTCAAAGGTCCAGGTGCTGTCGGGTAAAGACGCATCCAGAACACTGATCACCTCGTTAAAGTCAGTGGTGCTACTGGGTTTGATCATAGTGAAATCACTGTACTCTGACATTGGAGACATTGGAGACATACAGGACCTGAAGGACTGACTCTGAGACAACATGTCTCCTCCCAGGACCTCCACGTACTTTATAGGTCCATCAGTGTTGAGCTGAATCTGCAGGTTTCTGTTGGGGTTCTTGTAATCATCACAGTCAGTCCTTCCCATGCAGCAACTACCGCTGCTTCTGCTGTTCCTCACGCATTTAACCGCTAAGATGAGAAAAGTCAGCAGAGACAGCACGGACACCGAGGCCAGAGAGAGAATCAAATAAAGAGTTATTCTCCCAGTTTTCTTGCTGGGCTCGGGCATTTTATGTCGGAGGTCTAATATGGGCTCATGTAGGCCGTCCTCCAGCAGGATGGACACCGTAGCGGTGGCGGACTGGACCGGTTCCCCGTCGTCCTTGATCTCTATAAGCAGCCTCTGAGAGGAGTCGTCCTGCTCGGACACGGCGCGTTTGGTCCTCACCTCCCCTGTGTACATATTGACAGCGAACAGAGAGGCGTCTGTGGCTTCCGCCAGTTTGTAGGAGATCCAGGCGTTGTGGCCCGAGTCAGCGTCCACGGCCGTCACCTTGGTAACCAGGTGACCCGCTTTAGCGGAGCGGGGCATCCTCTGATGAGAGAGGGAGCCCAGGGCAGCGGAGGAGGGGTAAATAACCGCGGGGGCGTTGTCGTTCTGGTCCAGGATAAAAACATGGACGGTGGCGTTGCTGCTGAGAGACGGAGAGCCCTGATCCTTTGCCTGAACCTGAATCTGGAGCACCTTCAGTTTCTCATAGTCAAACGAGTGCATGCTGTAGATGCTGCCGTTATCTGAATTGATGTAAACATACGATGAGACAGAAACGTCCTGCACTTTGGAGTCCAGTATAGAGTAAGAGATTTTGGCATTTTCACCAAAGTCCACATCAGCTGCTGATACTGAGTACAGGATAGAGCCTGGTACCCCATTCTCTTTTAAATACACATTATAGGATGGCTGAGTGAATATTGGGGGGTTATCATTCACATCAGTGATGCTGACTCGTACAATTCTCCTACTGGATAGAGGAGGAGAGCCTGAATCTGTGGCTGTTATCTCAATATCATAGTCCGAACAGTTTTCTCGGTCCAATGCACCAAATGTAATCAATGCGTAGTTATTAGAAAATGATGGTTTCAGATTAAAAGGAGAGCCTTTGGTCAGTTGCAATGTCACTTTGCCGTTATTATCGGAATCAACGTCACGTGCACTGATCAAAGCAACTACTGTCCCACTCGGTGCGTCTTCACGTACTGGCTTCGGCTGAGAAGTAAAAATGATTTCTGGAACATTATCATTGAAATCAGTTATGTCGATCTGCACGCGACAGTGGCCCTCCATTTCAGGGCTTCCTTTATCTTTTGCAGTTACATCAATGTCATATGACTTGGTGGTTTCATAGTCCAACTCCCCTTTAAGAGTAATTTCCCCAGTTAAAGTGTTGATATCGAAGATTGACAATAAATAATCTGGTGTCCGAGAGCCAAAAGAGAATTCGATTTCACCATTTAAACCTTCATCTGCATCTGTTGCTTTGGGCGCAATAACAACTGACCCCTTTGTGTTTGTTTCACCGAGGGTTACTTTGTAAACGTTTTTTTCAAACACAGGGAAATTATCATTGTTGTCTAGCACGTTTATGGTTATCTGCGAGGTTCCGGATCTTGGTGGATTCCCCCCGTCTAATGCCGTCAGTAATATCTTGTGAAAAGCTTTTTTCTCTCTATCGAGGGGTTTTTCTAAAACAAGCTCCGCAACGGTCTTGCCACCCTCGTTTTGTTTTATTTTAAGGGAACAACACTCATTTTTACTAAGTGTATATGATTTCAAGGAATTGCTTCCAACGTCTGGGTCCGTCGCACTCTCCAGCGGGAAGCGCGTGCCAACTGCGGCCGATTCGGCTAATTTTAACGATAATTCATTTGAAAGAAAACTCGGAGAATTGTCATTAATATCCCGAATTTCTACTTCAATTCGGTGTAACTGCAGCGGGTCCTCAATAACCACTTGCAGAGGCAACACACAGCTGGCGCTTTGTCCACATAGAGCCTCTCTGTCTATTCTGTCATTTACCACCAGCTCGCCCTTCCCCGCATCCACAGTGAAATACTGTTTACCAGCTTCAGAGGCGACGCGAAGCTTACGGTCAAAAATGTCTGATAATCCCAAGCCAAGATCTTTGGCTAGATTTCCTACCACCGAGCCCCGTTTCAGTTCCTCCGGGATGCTGTAACGAGTCTGTCCGTTTATTGTACTCCACAGGAGAAAGATATAATGCCACCAAAGAGCCTGCCATCTCCAGTCTCGGTATCCCATTGTCTTTGTCATCCCGGATTCAGTAAAATGCATCACTTCCAGTCCACAAGAACGGGGAAAATGAAGTCGGATTCCGTATTTCGAAGGGGTGACATATTCCGCGAAAAAGACCACTGTTCATAATTAATTAATATATAACATTAACTCCGATGTGGCGATACGAACGAATTGCCTATTCTCCTCCAACCCCGAGCGTTGTGATTTGGTGCTGAAGCTGCATGGGGGAGGGAGTAGATCTCTTTGTACGGTTCAGAATTCTATTGGTGTACATCATTCGTCTCGCACAGCCAATGAGAGGAAAACCGAGAAGGCTCGTTAAAGATGCACTAACCCGTTTGCACTGTCATGAAAGACAGTTACACATAAAGCGGATGTACAATGAACAATTGCATGATTAATAGAAATGTTTAACAAATGCATTACTTAAAATTAAGCTCTAATATACCAACGGTTTGCTTTTGATTTAGTAAGAATTATGTATTGGGCTTTTCCTTTTCAATGCAACAATCAGTGTTGTTGTAAGTTTCTAAGTACAGGACATTTACTGAGTGAAATAAGGTATTATGCTTGCTAATACGATGCTAAAGCATGTTCCAAGTTACCCAAAATCTATCCGGAACAGTGTAATACTGAACCCATCCGCTTCATGTGTTGAGTCGCTGTCCAAAACCCTGGTGCTGAAATGCTCTACTCAAAAAGCTTTTCAACATTCAACTCACCAAGTAAAAAAAACATGCTGTTGAGCTTAGCTAAGAAAATTCCACCGTTTTATGTAAAGTTTTTATGTTTACAATTTAAATATACCAACTAACAATAAAACAAAAAATGTAAAGGATCTCTTAGAATTTCTTGTTTTTTCATAGCGAAAGGAAAAGTTGTGCTTCCCTTCGTTTTACGTTTTACACAGTAAAATACCATTCTTACACCACTGAACAATGTATTGGTTCATTTTCCTGACTGCTCACCTGCTGGCTCTCAAAGGTCCAGGTGCTGTCGGGTAGAGACGCATCCAGAACACTGATCACCTCGTTAAAGTCAGTGGTGCTACTGGGTTTGATCATAGTGAAATCACTGTACTCTGACATTGGAGACATTGGAGACATACAGGACCTGAAGGACTGACTCTGAGACAACATGTCTCCTCCCAGGACCTCCACGTACTTTATAGGTCCATCAGTGTTGAGCTGAATCTGCAGGTTTCTGTTGGGGTTCTTGTAATCATCACAGTCAGTCCTTCCCATGCAGCAACTACCGCTGCTTCTGCTGTTCCTCACGCATTTTACCGCTAAGATGAGAAAAGTCAGCAGAGACAGCACGGACACCGAGGCCAGAGAGAGAATCAAATAAAGAGTTATTCTCCCAGTTTTCTTGCTGGGCTCGGGCATTTTATGTCGGAGGTCTAATATGGGCTCATGTAGGCCGTCCTCCAGCAGGATGGACACCGTAGCGGTGGCGGACTGGACCGGTTCCCCGTCGTCCTTGATCTCTATAAGCAGCCTCTGAGAGGAGTCGTCCTGCTCGGACACGGCGCGTTTGGTCCTCACCTCCCCTGTGTACATATTGACAGCGAACAGAGAAGCGTCTGTGGCTTCCGCCAGTTTGTAGGAGATCCAGGCGTTGTGGCCCGAGTCAGCGTCCACGGCCGTCACCTTGGTAACCAGGTGACCCGCTTTAGCGGAGCGGGGCATCCTCTGATGAGAGAGGGAGCCCAGGGCAGCGGAGGAGGGGTAAATAACCGCGGGGGCGTTGTCGTTCTGGTCCAGGATAAAAACATGGACGGTGGCGTTGCTGCTGAGAGACGGAGAGCCCTGATCCTTTGCCTGAACCTGAATCTGGAGCACCTTCAGTTTCTCATAGTCAAACGAGTGCATGCTGTAGATGCTGCCGTTATCTGAATTGATGTAAACATACGATGAGACAGAGACGTCCTGCGCTTTGGAGTCCAGTATAGAGTAAGAGATTTTGGCATTTTCACCAAAGTCCACATCAGCTGCTGATACTGAGTACAGGATAGAGCCTGGTACCCCATTCTCTTTTAAATAAACATTATAGGAGAGCTGAGTGAATATAGGCGGGTTATCATTTACATCAGTGATGATAACAGGTAGAATTTTCTTACTGGATAGAGGAGGAGAGCCTGAATCAGTTGCTATTATCTCAATATTATACTCGGGAAAATGTTCTCGGTCTAATAAATTACTGGTTACCAGTGCGTAATTATTAGAAAATGATGGCTTTAAACTGAATGGAGAACCCTCTGCCAGTTTCAACGTTACTTTACCATTTTTACCAAAGTCGTTGTCTCGTGCACTGATTAAGGCTACAACTGTGCCTCGTGCTGCATCCTCACGTACAGGGTTTGCGTTTGAAGTGAGAACTATTTCCGGAGCATTATCATTTAAATCCACGACCATGACTTGCACGCGACAGTGGCCCTCCATCGCAGGGATACCTTTGTCTTTTGCAGTT